AGTGCTGCAGAGGTTTCAGTGGGTGTTCCTCATGGTTCGGTATTGGGTCTTTTGCTATTTATCATATACATAAATGACATGCGAAGCATTATACCACATGGAGACCTTTGCCTCTATGCAGACGACATCAAAATAACTTCAGCAAATCCATGCACGCTACAAAAGAATGGTTTAATAATAATGGTTTAACGGTAAACGAAGAAAAGACGCAATGTATTACCTTCAACAACGGACATAGCAATACCGAAAATAAATCCCTAAAATTCTTAGATCTGTATCTAGACGAGGAATTCAAATGATACACCCATATAGATAATACTGCCAAGAAGCTAAATGGCGCAATTTGCTGTGTACGGAGAATGAGAGGTATCAGTACCATAAAAGCGGCTAAACTCACATATTATGCCAGTTTCCACAGCGTAGCAACGTATGGCATTCTGTTCTGGGGCATGTCTTCAGCAGTAGAGCAAATTTTTCTATTGCAAAAGAGGGCAATTCGTGCACTTCTCAATTTAAAGAGTAAAGATAGTTGTAGAGAACATTTTGCAATACACAAAATTCTCACCATACCGTCTATGTATATCTTCAGCTGCATTAAAGCAACTAAGAAGAAATGTATCAACCTCACAAAGAATTCAGATATCCACAATTATCCGACAAGACGGGGGAACGAATTGCGAGTTCCACGCCACCGTCTAGTAAAGACTCAAAATAACTCCGAATATTGGGGCGAATATTATTTCAGTTAGACAATTGCCTTCTAGAAGAATGAACTCGTTCGTTAAGAATTACCTAGCGCAAAACCCAATATACAGGATAAGTGAATTTCTCGAAAGATGTATAAAATGAATTATTCTGTTTTCTTTTCTTTTATTTTTTCTTGTTTTTGTTTTGTATGTCAATACCACATTCTAATTAAATGACATTATGACATGTTGTAATTTCTTATGTATTTGCATCGAATAAAGATTATTATTATTATACTTCAGGAAAGGGGATCTAAGGTCGCTCTCAGGCTTCCTGGCCGGCCATGCGCCCCTAAAGTACCACCTCTTCCATATTATTACAAGCGATATTAAAAAACAATCTAAGTACCTTCCATCATTGAAACCATCGAGCGAACAATCAGATCTTATCTAAGAGATCTTAAAAAGATCGCTTGAAATATCATCTAAAGTCTGTAGAAGTTGCAAAACCGTGTATTATAATGAGTTATGTTTAAAAGCCGACAATAAGTAACTTGGGACCTGGCTCGACAGGAACATTCCTTCATTAAAACAGTTGCAACGATGAATACCTTTGTTGATGAAAATGGTTCCGAGGTCACAGCTCCTACTGATATTGCTGAACATTTTTTTTTATCAATTCTGTTGAAAAGTTGGTACACTGCTCGGTTATAAATGTTTCTGATGCACTGAACAACAGGAAATAACGATCGCTCACTTTTCATGACTCTCGTAACACCACTAGAAGTCACTACCATAATTAAATCTATATCTGTCAAGCATTCGAGCGGTTACAACGAAATACCGTGTTCCTCACTAGACAAAGTGTCCCAGGTTGTGATTGATACGTTAATAGTTTTGATTGGGTTCTGAATCGTTTATAAGTGGGGAGTTCCCATGCGAACTTAAGATAGCCTCCGTAATCCCCCTTTTCAAAAAAGGGCGACCCATCATTAATAACCAGTTACTAACCTGCCACCGTTCTTCCTTCCATATCCAACATTTTTGAAAGAGCGTTTTTTAAATGGCTAGATGAGTTTGTGAGTAAGTGTAACTTAATTAACAATCATCAATTTGGCTTCAGGACTAATAAGTCCACGCAGGACGCCATTTTGGATTTATAAACATCGGTTGATGCTCGCTTTGCTACTTTTATAAAAATTAAATCGGTACGGTATTAGAGGCCCTCCCTTGGCCTGAATTCAAAGTTACCTGAGTAGCAGACAACAATTAGTAAAATGGTCAGAAAACAATAGTACAATGATTTCATCCCTTCTCCCTTTTAGATATGGAGTCCCGCCAGAAAGAATATTGGGACCATTGCTGTTTATCTTGTATATAAATAATGTGCCATTATCTTGTGAAAATTGTAGGCAATTATTTGGTGCGAAGCTAACGGATTAATACTAAATTGTAACAAAACGCAACTAATGCATTTTTCCAGCAAACTTAATAAACCAGATTTTAGTGTGTTGGACAGATTTGAGGGAAAATCTGTTGGATCTATGGATAGTATTAAATTTCTCGGTATACGGTTGGATGCTAACTTTAGCTGGAATGATCACATAAAAGTACTATTTAATAAACTATCTTCGTTTTCCTTGTTATTTTCCAAACTTCGGAGAGTGCTAAATACTGAAATTGTCAAAACTATATATTAGGGTATAGTTTACTCCCACTTTAATTATGGCATTGTATGTTGGGGCAACTCGTCAACTTCGCAGCGGGCTTTTGTAGCGCAGAAAAAAGTCACTAGATCAATGTTCAACTTACCCTACAACGAATCATGTAGAGAAACATTTCGGAATAATCGCTTACTTCCTAGTATTTATACATATACTGCAGGTACTCATATACAGGACCTGATGTACAGGTGTCTCAGCGAGACCGTTTATTAGATGTTTATGGCGTTCTGGCCAAAATAAAAATTTGAGAATTCAGATTTAAGTAAAATCAATTGCGTTCTCTTCGACTAGAATATTTTCAGATTTCTAGCACTTCCGGTTATACCAGAAGTCGCCACCTACTTTATTTTTTTAAATGGAACGTCCTGTATATTTTTAACATATTTGGATTGGTCTATTTTAAGGTTTATAAATATTTTCTCTAAAAAAAATCTGCGCTAGCAGACATTTGTTCAAAAAATCAGAGAATACTCTATTTTTGGGATATCAATTTAGGATTCAGAACATGCTTAAGCAACATGATTGAGTATGTTTTGGTGCCGAGAACGGCTGTTTAGATCGTCAGGTCACTTTACTATGGCACGTTAACTTTTCGAAATTTGGAAGTACCATAACTTAATTTTTTAATAGCACCCCCTATATTTTATTACTTAGTCGTCTTCGGCGTTTCATTTTACATCTTTTATATGACCTATATCTAACATTAATAGTTTGGGAAATAATTAGGGTTTTTTGAAAAATTCACACATATCTTATCGATATTAACCTACTATCCGTGCAAAAAGTTAATGCCCCTCACTTTAGTGATCGATATCTTCGCAACCGCTCAATAAAAAAAAAATGCGACAAAGTTTGTTTTAATCACTGAACATTTCTACGTAACATATGTTCATTTGAAAATTTTCGGATCCACGGTTTTCTTTTTATCGCGAGTTAAATCAAAAAAGTACTCGATTTTTTACGGTACCGGCAACTTTGTCAACTTTGCGATTTTTTTCTCGAAAACTACCGTACCGAAAAATTTGAATTTTGAACAGGTGGTAGCCTGATGTGTTCTTAATGGGTGGCATATTTTATTTTTTCGATATTCCATACAGTTTCGCGGAAAATTGCGGTTTAGTAAGACGCTGTTGTGTTGAAAACGGCTGGGTGGATTTTCTCGCGGATTTCACCGAAATATGTCAAATAATGTCGATTGTCGAATTTCGTTATCAGTTTTTCAAAATTAGAGATCCCTAATTTTTTAAGAGCGATTTAATGGAATTACAAATTAAAGAGAAACAGAAATAAGCTCTGCGGGGTCATGGAGGTTCCGTCCAATCGGAACAGATGGTGCGTCCCAGATAGGACGTCGCGCCTTATTTCTTTATGTAGGTAAGATAAAGGCGCGACGTATTGTCTGGGACGCACCATCTGTTCCGATTGGACGGAACCCTCCCCTCCCCGCATAGCAAACTATATGGAATATCGAAAAAATAAAATATGTCCCACATTAAGAACACATCAGTTTATCACCACTGCAAATTTTAAATTTTTTCGTCAAATTGTTTTGGAGAAAAAAAATCGCAAAGTAGACAAAGTTGCGGACACTCTCAAAAATCGGGTATTTTTTTCACTTAACTCGCGATAAAAGCGAAACCGCGAACCCGAAAATTTTCAAATTAACATGTGATACGCTGAAATGTTCACTGATTACAATAAACTTTATCGCAATCTTTTCCATCGAGCGGTTACGAAGATATCGATCTCTAAAGTGAGGGGCCTTGACTTTTTGCACGGATAGTAGGTTAACATCGAAAACCCTAATTATCTCCCAAACTATTAATGTTAGATATAGGTCATATAAAAGATGTAAAATGAAACGCCGAAGACGACTAAGTAATAAAATATAGGGGGTGCTATTTAAAAAAATGAAGTTATGGTACTTCCAAATTTCGAAAAGTTGACGTGCCATAGTAAAGTGACCTGACGATCTAAACAGCCGTTCTCGGCACCAAAACATACTCAATCATGTTGCTTAAGCATGTTCTGAATCCTAAATTGATATCCCAAAAATATTTTGATAACAGCTCCTGATGAACTCCTGATGAATCACTACTTTATTTTTTTTGTTTGGTTGCTGTAGTGAGGGAAACGGCAGAAACGACAATTTCATTCTCGAGCTCGTCGTGTACTTTTTAAATAATTTCTTAGAAAAAGTAGGTAATTCATTTAAATTGAGTGTCCGAAGAAACACTACAGAAAAGTAACTTCTTTACTCATCGCGTTTCTAATCTCGGCTTCGCCTCGAGAAAATTCGCGATTCGTAAAGAAAAAGTATACTTTCTTTACTTATAATACAAATAACTATTAATTTGAATTGGACAAGCTGATCCTCAGCAAAGTTGTCGACTTTGCAACGACAAGTCAGAGGCTGCTTAACATATACTGTGTGATGTGTAGCCAGAAACCAAAATATCATAGTATGTTAACATTAATAAAAGAAAAATTGATAAATTTTAAATTAATAGAATTAAATTTGCTTGTTTAGGCAACCAATCAAACATAAAATGAGTACATTTAAATAATTTTGAAACGAAAAATTAATTACTTGAAATTTTTATCAATAAAGTCCTCGCTCTTCTTAAATAATTCTTTACAATCTTGAATACGAGCTATGGATAATATTAAAAGCGCGGTTTCCGGGTGGAGATGTTTTTCTAAGAGTTTACAACAAATATTTTTGATGGTTTTTAGTTCTAAAATGTTAGCCCCAATTAACACATTCTAAAAAAATCATTTTTTTAGTGAAACTAAGAGTACTGAGACAATAATAACATTACTTGCACATTTGTGAGTGTAATTTCGATTTGGGATGTGTAAATGAAGTTGATTAATAATAATAAAGCCTCTGGGTCGATGTCTTCTAATTTTAAGCGATTATTTTGACCCATTTTAATGAAGGCTTTATAGAAAAACTCGGAACAAGAAGCCAAAATGACTTTGTGGGCTTGAATTTCAACGTTTTTACTTATTAAAGTTACATCACAAAATAATTTTTTTCTAAAAAAAATGATTTAAAATAATTAATATTAAACAAAAATTACTTACTTCCTCATCGAATCCATAACAATAAAAGATTCTTTTGAATGATCGTTTTTGTTAACCATCTTTTCGGGTTAAACGCAAAAATTGAACTGTTCTTTTAAACTAACCTCCGGAAATTTAAATAATTTTTTATCTTTTTTATCAAAAAATTTATAATCAAACAGGTGTTTTAACTATAATAGACGAAATTGGCATTGAAATAGTTTAGATAATTACCTTAACACATGGACGGAAATGATTTGACCGGGCAATATGCCCAAAAAATCTAAAAATATCATAAAGAAACCCCTCCAACGCTTTTAGTTACAAACACAAAACAAATTAAAACATGAACTCAACGTTTATTCTCAACGTTCTTTGTTGACAAAAATCTTATTGTGATAATGTCGCCGAAAAACGAAGTAAACCCACTTTCATTTTTGTGTTTAAAATTCGTTTCAAACGTGTTAATCCATTCATTGTGCGATGATGAAGGTAAAAATTATAAACTTGTTAAGAATTATTTGCAAGATACAACATACGAAGTTATCCAAGATTTACTTAAAGTGATTTTAAGCACAGAAAATTTAGATGCAGCAACTAGGTTTAGTTGTTTAGAAGTTTTATTGCGCGAAGATGTACGAAGAATCGACACCGGCGTATTTCCGGGTACTTATTACGAAAAAATTCTGCGTGTTTTAACGAAAAGTTGTGGAAATTTACATCATTTAAATTTAAAAGGCGTTTGGGTTAAAGAACATACAAATTTATTGTGCGAATTGTTAAAAAAATTAAAAAATTTAAGAGTATTAATAATTCCTCATATTCCCGATGATAACGTTTTAAGAACAATCGTAAATTGTAATAAATTAAGTGTTGTCGATATTTCCGGGGAATGTTTATTCACCGAGGAAGGTTTACGCGATTTAAAAAGTGATTCAATAAAAATTCTTCATATTGGAATGTATGGAAAAAAAGAAATTTGCCAAGAAAATGATTCATCGGAATTAATCGCAACGGTTATTAAACAATTACCAAATTTAAACGTTTTTAAAGTTTATTCGTTCACCGGTGCAGCTTTACTTAAAATTTACGAAAATGAACCATCATTTAAAACAAAACTAACGTACATTCACGATACGGATACAACTTTAGAAAGTTTAGAAGCCATCATTCATTTATGCCCAAAATTAGAAAGTGCTAATTTTAACAGTCCTTCATCGGGGGTTTTAAACAATTTCAAAAACTTACATCAATTAAATTGTTTAAAACTATCACGTCCTAATTACGATGATTTTAATAAATATTTAATTGAAAGCGGAGATCGGCTTCAAATCCTAAAATTAAATATGATTAAAGATCAACGAATAGATGTTAGTAAAATTTGTTCGTACGCACCTGATTTGCAAACATTTGAATGTTTTAAATTAAAATTATCCTGTACATTACCGGATACTTATTTTATGAATTTACAAACGATTGAAATTCTTTATTGTGACATCACAACTTGTGTTCTAAAATATCTCTTAATGAATACACCGTTTTTAAAAAGAATCGTTGTGGGGGATGTAATAACAATTACAGATGGAGATGTGTTTAGATTGTGCGCGGAATGTGGATTTCATAATTTAGAAGAATTATGGTTTTCATCTGCAAGGGGTTTAACTATTGTTTCCGTTGAATTACTTATGGGGCATTGTCAGAATTTAAAGGTTTTAGGGCAGTTGAGTGGTTGGAATATTAGTGCTGATGATATGGATTATTTAAGAGCGATTATTTTGTCGAGTAATATGGATTTGATATTATTACCCGTTGGTGTATTCCCCTAATTTTTAATTAATTAATAAATAAAATAAATTTAATAATCAGACTAAATTTTTCACAAACCCCCTAATTAATCTTTTTAAGTGATGGGCGTTGGGTAAATACCCGGCGGGTAGGTATTTATAAAATGGGTATTTACCCCGGGCCGGGGTAAAACAGACAGTAAAACTAACAGTACATATAAAAGTGATACAAGTAAAAATATAACAAATTCGGAAAAAAATGAAGAGGAAGATGATGAAATGGACGTTGAAGACGATTCATTCGATTGTCAACGATCAAAGACGTATTATCATCAATCGAATCTGTCGTAATTTAATAATAATAATAATAACTAGTGGTGGAACGAATATTCGGCAGCTACCCGGTATCCGGCCACTTTTTAAAATCCGGCCAGATACCGGATAGTTACCGAATATCCGGTTTTCGCCGAATATTAAAAACCTATTACTTAGTACTCCACCATTCACAGGAATTAATATCTTTTTTAGGTGTTGGACACTGCAGATAATAATCAAGTTCAACCCCAATAGGACTTTTTTCATTGAATACAACTTTATTTATATCAAGTTTGTCATTAGCAACCTCATCGTAACAATCCCAATACGATATATAAAATCTCTTGCTGCAGTTTTGTCCAGTTTTTTTTCTCTTTGCTTGCAATTCATCATCACATGCATTACTAACAGAACTGCTGCTGTTATCACTTTCGATTATTAATTAAAGTATCCTGTTTTTAATGCAAAAAGCCGTTTTGAAAAATCACTTTCAGTTTTTGAGAAATAAATTTTTGAAATGATCGACAATTTTTTCGAGCATTGCAGTTTTCGCCGATTAAACTTTAAAAATTCATATAAAATCCAATTCTTGGAATATGAGTATGAAAGTTTCCCAAAGTGTTAATAAGAGTGTCCTCTTTCCAATGAACTAACCCGTTTTGAAAAATAACTTTTAGTTTTTGAGAAAGCAATATTTGAAGTTTTGATAAAATTTTCGATGTTGCAATTTTCATCGATAACTTTCAAAATTCGCTATTAAATTCATTTCTTGAAGGATCCATGTGGAAATATCAACAATAAATTATTAACTAAAGTATCCTCTTTTTAATGCAACAAGCCGTCTTGAAAAATCGCTTTTAGTTTTTGCGAAATAAATTTTTGAAGTTTTGATAAAATTTTCAATGTTGCAATTTTCATCGATAACTTTCAAAATTCGCTGTAAAATTCATTTCTTGAAGGATCCTTGTAGAAATATCACCAATTATTAATTAAAGTATCCTCTTTTTAATGCAACAAGGCGTGTTGAAAAATCGCTTTTAGTTTTTGAGAAAAAATTTTTTGAAATGGTTGACAATTTTTTGAATTTTGCAGTTTTCGCCGAATAAGTTTTAAAAATTCGTATAAAATCCAGTTCTTGGAATATGAGTATGAAAGTTTCCCAAAGTGTAAATAAGAGTGTCCTCTTTCCAATGGACCACCCCGTTTTGAAAAATAGATTTTAGTTTTTAAAAAAACAATATTTGAAGTTTTGATAAAATTTTCGATGTTGCAATTTTCATCGATAATTTTCAAATATCGCTATAAAATTCATTTCTTGAAGGATCCTTGTGGAAATATCACCAATTATTAATTAAAGTATCCTCTTTTTAATGCAACAAGCCGTTTTGAAAAATCACTTTTAGTTCTTGAGAAATAAATTTTTGAAATAATCGACAATTTTTTCGAATTTTGCAATTTTCGCCGATTAAGTTTTAAAAATTCGTATAAAATCCATTTCTTGGAATATGAGTATGAAAATTTCCCAAAGTGTTAATAAAAGTGTCCTCTTTCCAATGAACCAACCCGTTTTGAAAAATAACTTTTAGTTTTTGAGAAAACAATATTTGAAGTTTTGATAAAATTTTCGATGTTGCAATTTTCATCGATAATTTTCAAATATCGCTATAAAATTCATTTCTTGAAGGATCCTTGTGGAAATATCACCAATTATTAATTAAAGTATCCTCTTTTTAATGCAACAAACCGTTTTGAAAAACAGCTTTTAGTTTTTGAGAAATAAATTTTTGAAGTTTTGATAAAATTTTCAATGTTGCAATTTTCATCGATAACTTTCAAAATTCGCTGTAAAATTCATTTCGTGAAGGATCCTTGTAAAAATATCACCAATTATTAATTAAAGTATCCTCTTTTTAATGCAATAAGGTGTTTTGAAAAATCGCCTTTAGTTTTTGAGAAAAAAATTTTTGAAATGATTGACAATTTTTCAAATTTTGCAGTTTTCGCCGAAAAAGTTTTAAACATTCGTATAAAATCCAGTTTTTGGAATATGAGTATGAAAGTTTCCCAAAGTGTTAATAAGAGTGTCCTCTTTCCAATGGACCACCCCGTTTTGAAAAATAGATTTTAGTTTTTAAAAAAACAATATTTGAAGTTTTGATAAAATTTTCGATGTTGCAATTTTCATCGATAATTTTCAAATATCGCTATAAAATTCATTTCTTGAAGGATCCTTGTGGAAATATCACCAATTATTAATTAAACTATCCTCTTTTTAATACAACAAACCGTTTTGAAAAATCGCTTTTAGTTTTTGAGAAATGAATTTTTTAAATGAGCGACAATTTTTTCGAATTTTGCAATTTTCGCCGGTTAAGTTTTAAAAATTCGTATAAAATCCAGTTCTTGGAATATGAGTATGAAAATTTCCCAAAGTGTTGTTAATAAGAGTGTCCTCTTTCCAATGAATCAACCCGTTTTGAAAAATAGATTTTAGTTTTTGAAAAAACAATATATGAAGTTTTGATAAAATTTTCAATGTTGCAATTTTCATCGATAACTTTCAAAATTTGCTGTAAAATTCATTTCTTGAAGAATCCTTGTAGAAATATCACCAATTATTAATTAAAGTATCCTCTTCTTAATGCAACAAGGCGTTTTGAAAAATCGCTTTTAGTTTTTGAAGTTTTAAAAATTCGTATAAAATCCAGTTCTTGCAACATGAGTATGAAAATTTCCCAAAATGTTAATAAGAGTGTCCTCTTTCCAATGGACCAACCCGTTTTGAAAAATAGATTTTAGTTTTTAAAAAAACAATATTTGAAGTTTTGATAAAATTTTCGATGTTGCAATTTTCATCGATAATTTTCAAATATCGCTATAAAATTCATTTCTTGAAGGATCCTTGTGGAAATATCACCAATTATTAATTAAAGTATCCTCTTTTTAATGTAACAAGCGCTTTTGAAAAATCGCTTTTAGTTTTTGAGAAATAAATTTTTGAAATGATCGACAATTTTTTCGAATTTTGCAATTTTCGGCGAGTAAGTTTTAAAAATTCGTATAAAATCCAGTTCTTGGAATATGAGTATGGAAATTTCCCAAAGTGTTATTAAGAGTGTCCTCTTTCCAATGAACAAACCGGTTTTAAAAAGTAACTTTTAGTTTTTGAGAAAACAATATTTGAAGTTTTGATAAAATTTTCGATGTTGCAATTTTCATCGATCATTTTCAAAATTCGTTATAAAATTAATTTCTTGAAGGATCCTTGCGAAAATATCACCAATTATTAATTAAAGTGTCCTCTTTTTAATGCAAAAAGCCGTATTGAAAGATCACTTTCAGTTCTTGAGACTGAAAAAAAAAATTGTTGATTTTGGAAAATTACCTCAATTATAACTCAAAAACTAAAAGCGTTGGGGAAATACTTTTTATACAGAAAACCTTATAATGGGCCATAAAGACTAAATCCATAACAAGGTTGAACCCAATTATTACCATTTTTTATTCATATAAGCTCTAAATCGGTTAAACATCAAAATTGTTGATTTTCGAAAATTAACTCAATCATAACTCATAAACTAAAAGCGATGGGGAATAGTATATTACAGTACAAGTGAGGAAACTATGATTTTTCATTAACGCGTATGTCGGATGGAAAGACATACAAGTTAGTGGAAAATATTAGTTTCACGCGTGTGCTGTATAGCGTTTTGTTGAATCCTACCATTTAAAGAAAACCCGTCTTAATATTCGATAATTCCTGAGTAATTTCATGTTGACATGTCGACAACGACAGCAGTTCTTGACATTGTCATCCTCTTAATTGATATTATGTAAACAACCATTTGTGTCAAATTGTTAATTGTCATCATTATTCATAAAATTAATAAGTTGATTAAAATTAATAATTTATACAAGTGAAATACTTAATTAACTTTCCACGTGTGCTGTCCACCGTTTTTTAGTTACCATCCGTTACTTTTAAACAAAGAGTTGTTCCTTTAAAGGTTTTATATTTAGCTAACAGTGATTGAAAAAAAATAGAGTGAGTGACAAAAATTTTCACTCACTCGTTTCTATGAAAGTCAGCAGATGGTGAATGCAAATAACAACTTTCGACACTCGTATCCAAGCTAGAAACTAACAATTTCGAAGGTAGGATTGAACAATAGTTATTTATATTACAAGTGGGCTAGAATAGTATATTAAAAAACAAGTTTCGTAAGACACGCTTGAAATGCACGAATTCAAGTTGAAAAACGAGTGGCGAAGCCACGAGTTTTTTAATGAATGAGTGCTTTAAGTCTTATGAAACGTGTTTTTTATGCTATTTTTTGTAATTCGCGTTTTTATACTTTTTTTTTCCAAAAAATAAAATAAATTTTG